TTTCCCTAACACTGACGGTAACACTTACATACACTTCAACACATCATCATGCACATACCATCATATTTGTAGATAAGGGTGGGCAAACGGTTCGGTTCGTTTTATTCGAGTTTTGAAAATTCGTAATCAAAATCGAAAAATTGCCTCCTCACGCCCTGTCGCCCTCTCTAGATTACACGGATAATTGCCAGACGAAACCCAAACTCCAACCTCCGCAAAACACTCGAATTTCGGGTAAAATTTCCAAATGCAGCAGCTCCTTTTCGCTTATTCACTTGCTATTTTCGTTTCATAGTACGCTGCGGATACGCTTCCATTTGGAGGAATAGGAGAAAGCGGGATGGGAAAGTACCACGGGAAATACTCATTCGAAGCGTTCACTCACTATAAGGCAATCGTACGTAGAAGCTTCTTAACGGATTTCTGGTTCAGATTTCCGCCATGGAACGATCACAAGCTCCAGCTTTTTCGAACCGTTTATAACTACGACTATCTCGGCATGCTTCTTGTGGTCCTCGGCCTCAAGAGGAGGCTTTCTCTTTGATTTGATTCATGACTCTGAGGTGTTTATCTTAATCCTTTGAACGTCATGATCTGAGGTTCACTGTCTTTGGTAAGAGTATCAAAGTAAAGTATGTTGGATCTGTTGTTTGGTTCTACATTATTATTATTGCTCATGTCTTAATGTCGAGGGTTATCCAAACCATTATTGGTTTGAAATATAATAGTTAAATGAGTCGTTAATTTATATCTCAAGTTAACAACTCAATAGACTCATTTAATCATTTTGATACTCTAATCTATCCTAAAAAACAATATAAATATTAGATTATCACACTACTTTTTTTCTATTTCTAAAAAATAAAAAAATAATTTTATATACATAATTTAATATTCTAAATTATAAATTTTTATCTATAGTGAAAATCATGTAAAAGTATATAAAAAAAAGATTCAATTAGGTTATGTAATATCAACATATAGTATAAAATAAATAATTTATATAAAAAAAAACTCAAATTCAATTCATTTCAGTTCTAATCGATTCAAATTCAATTTGAATCAATTCGAATCATTGGGATCCAATTTATTCGTTTTGATTCGTTTCGAGTCGAATTCGATTCGGATCAATTCATTTCAAATTGATTGTTTTTTATTCGTTTCGATGCGGATCGAAACGATCCGTTTTAATCTATTTCAAGTCGAATTCGATTCGATCCATTTGATTCATTTTTATCCGACTTCGACTTTTATTATAAAATTATTTTTAATATTTTTTTTTTATTTTTCGACTATTTTATATTTGATTCGAAATCGATTTTTTATTTTAAAATAAATTTTATACATTCAATTTTATATCGAATATTAGCTTCGAATTAATTCAATTTTAATTTTAATATATATAATTTATAAGTAAATTTTTAATATTTTATTCAATCAAAACTAATCAGCAGCAATGAAGCAGCAATGAAATGTTTAATGGGTAGTATAAAACCTATTTAATATATAAAATAGATTTAATCCAAATACAAAAATAATTGGATAGGCTTAACCTATCTAATCCAAAACTTGACATCTATATCTCTAAGTGTAGCCAAAGTTAGATTTTTTGAGACAAAATAGAGAGACATATCAGGCGCGATATTTGTTGAGGCGCCAAGAGTTAGGCTTGTGATAACGATCATACAAGGGCTCGATCCGCCCTTGGTGCTTGCGTTTGCTAAGCTTTGTCGGGTTAGCCACCTTGAAGAACCTCGGAGCCAATTCAACAAGCCACTTGGGGTCTTTAACGGTCACTTCCCTCATGTACTCTTTGGTCGTCATGACAAACTCGTGGTATATCTCACCCAATCCGGTTGTCGTTGGAAAAAAGCGCTTGTAATACCCCGTGAATTTCTTATCCGCACCGAGCCTTAGGAGACCCCGTATGAGCCGAAAAATGGCTCGAGAATATTGATTTGAAGCCTAGCCTGGGCTAATCCGAAGGTTTGAGCTGAACCGAGCGATGAAAAGAGACAAAAAATGGCCATACCGACCGGTCTAAGTGAAGACAAACGGTTTGCACAGCCAGACCGAATGGTGTGACGAGGCGAGACCAGGTTTCACACGATGCCTCTTTTTCCTGC